GACACGCGGGGACCCGGGGCCACCTCGCTCTCATTGAAGCCCAGGAGGGTGGGAAGTGCTGGAGAACGAGGGTGGGAGGGGCTGGGGGGGCTTCGGCAGCGCCGTGGGAAGCTGCTCCTGCTCCTGCTCCTGCTCCTGCTCCTGCTCCTGCCCGGGGCTCCCGCTGCCTCCGGCCCGACGGCTCGGGGGACGTGTCCTGGGGAGGCCACCACCCAGCCGGGGCCTGAAGGGGCCCCTGTCCCCGTCCCTGCCCTCCGGGGGGCACCCGGCTGGGGCCGTGCCCGTGTTCCCTGGGAAGAGATGGAGGGAGAGGGGTGAGAGGGGTGGGGAGCCCGGGAGCGGTGACAGGAGGGGACAGCGGGAGGGACAGAGAGGGGACAGGGCTGGGTGTCACCTCTGCGCCGCTCCCCGGGGACATTCCCGCTCCAGGAGGGTCACCCGGCCCCACCCCTGCACCCCACCCTGCTCCGTACCGGGGTCTGGGCTGCTCACAGCCCCGGCCTGCGCCTGGGCGGGGGGGCTGCGGGTGCCCACGGAGGTGTCCTTGGAGGTGCCCGTGGAGGTGCCCGTGGAGGTGCCCACGGATGCATCCACGGCCCGGCGCCGCCGCTGCAGGATGGATTCCAGCTGCCGGTCCCGGCCCCTGGCGCTGCCCCGGCGCCCGCTGCACCTCCGGCTCGGCCTCCTCATGGCACCCTGGGACACGGCCGAGGGGCTGGCGGGTCACACCGGGCACGGGGACCCCCCAGGGCAGTGGGAGAGGTGTCCCCCCGTGGGACGGGGCCGCTCACCAGGATTCCCTGCAGCTCCAGCACCGCGCTCCTCCTCTTCTCAGCCACCGGGTCCTGGGAGGAGAGGGACGGGGGAGCTCATCCCGCTGCTCCTGCTCCTCCCTGGGGCTGCCGGTGCTTCCCAAGCCCGCCCCAGTCCCAGGACTGCCCAGGGACATTGTTGGGAGCCATCCCTGCCTACCTGGCCCAGGTGTGCCCTGTCCTTGGCTGGCCGCAGGACCACCCCGCTCCTGATCCGCTCCATCATCTCCTGCACGGCCCGAGCTCTGACATCCTGGGCTGTGGCATCCTGGGCTCTGACATCCTGGGCTTTTGGGTTACCTGCACAGGTACCACCACGCTGAGACCCCCCTCCAAGCTCATGACAGCCCCCCCCCTCTGCAGCCCCCCATGCCCGGGGTCCCTCCCTTGGCCGTGGCCCGGCGTGGTCCCACCCTGCCAGGGCCATGTCCCCCCTGTGCTGGGCGGGACAGGGGTGCTGAGCACCCTCCTTCGAGGGGCGGGGTCTGCAGGGTGCCCCGAACCCCAAATCGGCCTCTCCCACCCCGTCCTCCCCGTGCCCGGGGGTCCCCCATCCCCGTGGCGCTGTGGGGCCCCCCTGGCACCGGGAGCCCCCCGGGCACTTACCGTGCTGCCGCTTTGCCACCCCCTTCCTCAGCCTGATGGCGGCGAGGGGGCTGCAAGGGAGAGGGGGGTGAGAGCTGCCCCCGCACCCCGAACCCGTCAGTGCCCACCCTGCCCACTGCACCCCAGAGAGGGGCGGTCGGACCCCCAGCACAGCCAGACACCCCCAGCCCCGAAACCTGCTGGGGACTGACCCCCCCATCCTGCACCTCCCGCCGGGGGCGATGCCTGGACACGGCTCGGGGACAGCCCGGGCACAGCGGGACACAGATCGGGGACAGCCTGGACACAGCGGGACACAG